TGAATGGAACATTGTAAAGCGCTTTGGGTCTGTACCTCGGTCTGTAAAATGTGCTATATAAATAAACATTACTTACTCACTTACTTATAGCTATATTTACTTTGAAACCACAAAGAAACTACAACAGTATGGAATCAAATCTCTTTTGATTCCATACTGTTTTGTGTCTTCACGTACACCTTTGGTTCGGCTTGTTCAGGGAAAAAGAGAGGACCTGACTCTATCTAGTGAGACAAACAAAATGTATTTATAAAACAAAAACAAAATAAGGTTCTCCATCTCCTCACAGCGGGTTGTTGACACATTTTCCACTCCCTCATGAACTCTGCATCACAACATCATCCAACTATTTATATATATCGTATCTATATCTTGTATGACTATACGTGTGCATTTGCCTTCACCCAAACTCCACCGTGAAACAAACTTAGTCTGAAACTTTCCCGCTGAACCCGTCTCCTTCTTCTTACCGTGCCGTTTCCTCTTCCCAACACGGGGAAAACCGCTCCGGGGCACAACAAGCAAAAAGAATGCGCTTTGATCGGCAGATGAGGGCTACAGCGACGCTTCCTGCCTGGGTCTCCCCGGTCTACTCGAGTACCAACATTTCAAAGACTCACAAACACACGCTGTTCCTCCATGTTTTTCAATATTTTTAGGCCCGAGCCCCGAACGGGGAAAGGGCCTATTGTTTTTGCTCGAGAGATGTCATATTCTGCACTTTGAGCCTTAATTTCACCCCCTGAACATGCATGAAAAGTTGTAAAATTTTGCCCAAACATCAGACCTGGTGAAAAATTTGATATTTTGGTGTTTATTTTTATGGGACTCAAAAAATGCCAGAACAGCGCCACCTACAAGAGCCAATGGGAGTTTCAGAGGTCAAGTTTGTCGTAGAGCCATGAAATTTGGTACACATGTTCCTCAAGTCAAGATACGACTGACAAACAGGAAGCCCATAAATTTCATAGCAAAATGGAAAAATGAAAACCAATCATTTTCATACATGTTGCTTGGAAAGCGACTCCTCCTCGACCGTTTCACCGATTGGCCTCAAAATTGCTCCAAATTATCTCAACACATGTACCTTCAAAATGACTTCAGGGAATTTTAATCAGTGAAACGTTGCTTGAGCAGCGGAGCGGCAAAATGTGAGGTATTTTTTGGCAGTTTTTGATAACATTAATTTTTTTTCCTTTTTGCACATACAAAGTCTGATTTGCATTAAACTTGAATCCATTGTTCAACTCCAAGGTTTAGGTCAGGTGAAAGTGAAATATTTGAAATTGGCCCATTAGCGCCCCCTACAGACTGAAGCAAAGTTTACATGGGGAGCCAAACCAGCTCTACTTATCATATTCATTACAATTTGACTAACAATCTTCTATGGCTACGGGAACAAATCATCACACGGCGGCGGCACCTCCTTTGAGCGGTGCTGTGTGGTGCGGCGTAGTGCGGAGCGTAGTGCGGGGCGTTGTGGAGCGGCGCGTTGCGGCTTGGTGTGATGCGGGACTGCGTGGTGTAGGACGGGGTGGCTTGGTGCGGGGCGGCGTGGCACGGGGTGGTGCGGGGAGTGCGTGCGGTGCAGGGAGTCGCGCGGTGCGGCGAGGGCCGTTCGACGCCGCTTGCGGCTTTAATTTTCTTTTGCTTTTTCTGTACATTTTGTTTGCTCCTACTGGCTTCCTGTCTGTGGTGGAGGGCTTGTCTCATGTCTTGTTGGGGAGCAGCCAATGAGAGGAGGCACCCGACGATCGTTGTGAAGAGATTTGTCAGGTGCGAATAGCGGGTGTGTGGCAGGTGGGATCATAGCTGGAAACTTGTTAGATTTTGGATTTTGATGAAAAACAAACATGTTATTCATTAAATCTCGGTGCTTGTTGTTGGATCAGTCAGATTAGACAAGATTCGCTCCAGCACTCGGGGCTTGTTGGTGTGCTTTCGTCTCAATTACTTAAGGGAATTGTAGAGAAATTATCCGTTTTTCATTATTTTTGCAAATGGGTTTTATTTCAATTCGTCAAATGCATTCACCCTGAAGCAAATCGGCAAAAAATACACAAATAAAAAGACATATTTTGACCGTTGGGTGATGGATTGGAGCACTTTGGATCCACATGTCTTTCCAAAGTGCATTCATAAGTACACTGCTGTCTTTTGGAGTCTGTTTTGGGGTTTAACGGATTATCAACGGGGGTAATTATTGGCACTGACATCAGCTAATATTATAATGAATACATTTATGTCGAGCCTTGCATCTACAAATATCAAAGAAACAGACAAAACACAATGATAAAAGTACAAGGTTTGAAAGGGGAGCGGATGAAGCAAATATCTATCAATATTGATCCAGCCTTTTGGTCAAAATAACAATCTAGGGCTGTAATTAGAATTTGTCAATTAGTTACATTCTGAAATCTCACTGAATGTGGAATTTGTTAAAAAATTTGACCAAAACAAAGCTCAAGTGCTTCCCCTGGAGATTGTTACACATTGGGTTTTCGGATTAGAAGTACTTTATGTATTAAGAGTTCATTCTGCTGTCATTATAGGATTATCTGTGTCATAAACCACCAAAATCACTCCTCAGCATGTTTAATTCTATGTGCTCACATTAACAATAAACTGGACTGGTCCATAATACCAACGCCCTGTACAAGAAGGGCCACAGTCGCCTCTTCCTTCTGAGGAGGCTGAGGTCCTTGGTAGCTTCTGCCATACACTACGCTGCCGTGTGCTGGGCCCCGGGCAGCACAGAGCGGGACAGAAGGAGACTGAACAAGCTGGTCAGGAGGGCCAGCTCCACTCTGGGCTGTCCCCTGGACTCTGTGGAGGAGGTGAGGGACAGGAGGCCCCTGGACTCTGTGGAGGAGGTGAGGGACAGGAGGCCCCTGGACTCTGTGGAGGAGGTGAGGGACAGGAGGCCCCTGGACTCTGTGGAGGAGGTGAGGGACAGGAGGCCCCTGGACTCTGTGGAGGAGGTGAGGGACAGGAGGTGCAGGTCAAAGTCACCTCCATCATGGACACCTCCTGCACAGGACTGAGGAGGAGCTGAGGAGCTCCTTCAGTGGAAGACTGAGACACCCTCAGTGTAAGAAGGAGCAGGGCCTTTATCCCTACTGCTGTCAGACTGTACAACAAGTCCAGTTCAAACATAGGAAATGCAATGATAAAATACACAGAACTATTTGTTCATAAGTGGACCGATGTGCATAAATATGCATAAATGTCCAAACAGTTCCTTAAATGTCCTAAAATGTCCTTGATCATCACCGCTGTCCTCAGACCCTCCTGCATCAGAGAGGAACAACTCTCTGATGCAGGAGGGCAATACTTTCCTGTGATGTCTATGTAAGAGAGCAGGACACACCAGGACATGGGCGGCTGAGTTACTGTGGGCATCTCACTGTCAAAACACTAAATAGAAATGCCATTTGTTCAAATTAGAAATGACCGGGGGCTAAAACAAGAATAATGACTTCATAATTGCGTGGAGGCGCGTTGACAAACACTGTTATAAAGATTGTGAATAGAGCCTCTTCATATCTTCTTAACTTCACGTTGACCTGAGCAGAAACAAATCAATATTTAATGCGCCATAGTGCTGATATTCATAAAGCAGTGAGTAAAGCCACTCTCGCCGTAATAACTGGACACTAATGTTCTGTGCTTGCTCTGCTCTCATTGTGGATGTGTGCTCCGAGACCAGAGTCTTCCTCGTGTGACCAATGGCCCCACAATAATGTTCTTATAATATATTTAACTCATCAGTTTGGTTTCTTTTTGTACATAGATTTAAATAGCTTTTATCTAAGCCTATTCTACAAAAGCCAGATTGCACACAGTATGATAGAGGTGCATGTTTAATAGCAATTTTCATAGTCATAATTAGCAATTTAGAAAGACTGCATTTATTTAAGATCTGTAGGAAAAGGGCATATTGAAAACACAATGCAACTGTTAGTATTAGATAGCAATATGGCCTACGTGCAGGACTGTACAAGGACTCTGATTATTTTGACTATGATGTGACTGTCTCTGTGTGACACGTCTTTCCATGTGTGACGTGACAATGACTATATAAACTGTGTACTGACTCCATTTTGTCTGGGAGAGAAGGAAACAATGGAAACCACTGGAACTTGAGAGAAACTTAAATAAACTTCCAGAGTTTGGCGCACCACAATCCGTCTCTGGCTATATCCACACGAAGACAAAACGCTTATAATTTCAGAAACTTTTTCTGTAAACACGGAGTTAGCTCAGTAAATGTGTGCGTCCATATGAATGTAGTCAATACGCCTGAAAACGCTGTGAAACTATGCCAGACCTGTTGGTGGCGCTGTGACGCAATGACGGGATCAAGCCCAAACTTCCGTGACGGGAACTGGGCATGCGCAGAATTTTGTAAACAGACAACATGGCGAGTGGGCGAGCTGGTACTACATTAGTATGGACGGACGATGAGGTTGAACTGTTGCTTCGGGTCGCACTGGATTACAAAACCAACAAGCTACATTGTTGTTGTCATTATTTTCTGAGTGCGGCGCATGCGTGCTTTAACAAAAGGCGGGGCGATGACGCAAGCGTCTCAGATACATTGCGGAGAGGCAGTAACCACGGAGCGGCATATACGGAGTTTTGAAATCTTTCCACTCTGGGATCTACTTTCAAAAATGTTCGTTTACACCCCCCCAAAACGCCGGCCTCGTATGGACGATACACTGGATTGATAAAGTATTTTTGCGTTTAGGCCTGAGCTTGACTTCGTGTGGACAGGGCCTCTGTCTGCTTCATTCCTGACACAACATTTTAGAAAATGTCTGGAACAGGTCAATGGAACAAATATCTTTTGTCTTTTTGTACGCCATATTTTCGAATCAAATCAATATCACGTTGAAAGTCCCCTGTATCGAGATATGCATCTGCAGGCTCTGAACGACACCTAATTGTTTGTTGTTCAGAGCATCTCTCTCTGGAGACACATGTGACAGGTTAACATGGAGGAGACGAAGAACAGTGAGAAGTCAGATTTTGCAACAAGGTGAAGTGCCTGCAGAGCTTTGTGTCAGACAAACTATTTTTATACATTTGAACAACTTGACAATAGACATCTCTCTATTTAAGTCATTTCTTGTCATGTGCCGTATTCATTTGTTTGATAAATGCTAGTGTTGAAATGTGCCTTAGGTTCCACACTCTGAATGATGATATCGCAGCCGTTCTTATAAGCAGCTGTAACTTCTGTTAGACAATCGCTTCAATCATTTGAGAGTTCAGTCAGTTTTTAAGCCCTCCTTTTTGTGGGAGGGCAGTTTCAAAGTATCCCGTGGGTGCCAAATTATGGTGTTGTAGAAGCTTCCAATCGTATGGTTCAGGCAGCTTCGTGGGCGGGTCTGATTAGATTTCTCCCCTGTCAATCACGGCTGAGCGCCTCCTGGAGGTGGGCTTTTCCAGCTCTGTGCCACGTCACAAAGTGAACCGAGGTTTTGTGAGAACGATCACTCTCCACACTCCAGCTAAAACTATGGGAATCAATGAGTTGTACTGTAATCATGTTTAAATCATAGAAAGCAAAATATTGTCACCCCAAGAACAAAGTACTTGAGTCTTCGTTCTGTAGCTTAGGTCCTGGATCTATAGCCTGTCCATCCGTGTAGGAGCGGATCCCTCTCTCAATATGAGGGTCTCCCGGAGGTTTCTCACTTTTCTCGCACTGGGTTTTTCTTATGAGTTGTTCCTTGCCGATGCAGGAGTCTGTTGGGCAGTTAGTGTCCAACTAGAAGGATGTGATGATCCAGGACACTTTAACATTCTACAACATGTATGACATTTATCAACATTCATGGACATTGGTTTCTCCCTGTGGACAAGTGTATATTTTGTGTTTTAACTGTTGATTCTCTGATCTGTGTTGGTGATTTCAATGGTTTTGTTAAGTCTCTGAGATGATGCTGTTGTGATTTAGGGCTATACAAGAATACGTTGTTGTTGTTGTTGTTGTTATGAATCGGTCTTTACTTAAAGTGTTTTTCCAAGTGTCAAGAACAAGCTGCCAGAACTGCCGAACAGCAGCAGTTAGAACGAACGACTGGCATGGCAAGTTTATTTGTATAGCACAATCCATACACAAGGCAACTCAAAGTGCTGAACAAAACCAGATAGAAACAGTCACACAAGGCATCATAATCATAAATTAGATAAAGATAAAAAAAATGAATATAAAATCCCTCAGTTTTATACACAGCTAAACAGAACCGTTTTTAACATTGAGAGGAGGCCTGTCTTACACTTTCAGGAAGATTGTTCCAGATTTAAGCAGCATGAATCTGAAAAGCAGCCTCCCCATGTTTAGTTCTGACTCTGGGCACTAACAGGAGTCCAGTCCCTGTGCTCCTCAGAGTCCCAGCAGGAGTCCAGTCCCTGTGCTCCTCAGAGTCCCAGCAGGAGTCCAGTCCCTGTGCTCCTCAGAGTCCCAGCAGGAGTCCAGTCCCTGTGCTCCTCAGAGTCCCAGCAGGAGTCCAGTCCCTGTGCTCCTCAGAGTCCCAGCAGGAGTCCAGTCCCTGTGCTCCTCAGAGTCCCAGCAGGAGTCCAGTCCTTGTGCTCCTCAGAGTCCCAGCAGGAGTCCAGTCCCTGTGCTCCTCAGAGTCCCAGCAGGAGTCAGTCCCTGTGCTCCTCAGAATCCCAGAAGGATTCTCTGCGTTCTATGCGTTCTAAGGTTCTATGCATCAGTATGAATTGGCCTTTAGTCTTACTGTGACAAGCGGTTCTGTCCCACAACCACTCACCATCGGTATTTCACATGCACGATTCTCGAGAAATAACAAGTAAAAATAACAACTTGAAATGTTCCGAAATCATCAAAATATCTCTTGAACTTGTCTTTCACCTAGAATTGTCCAAATGTCCCTTCTCCGTCAAAGCTTGGCCCCGTTATTTTCCACTCTTGACCACAAAAGCTCCATCAACGCTGATTCCGCTGCTGGAGTTGTTGGCAGGACCAGTGCGTTTTTCACAAAGACCTATGATTGTATTTGAGAGATGGGTTTGGCTCACACTACTGCTTTTGGACCACTTTACAACAATCATACCGTTCATATTGTATCATTTTATTAGTGAGAGGGAGACTAAACATATTTGATCTGTCTACAATGAGCGTCGTCTTATCCAACATGTCAAACAGATTATTTCCACCAGGAACGAGTCCAGCGACAACAAAGCTGATCCCAGAACTGCCTGGATGTGTGTGCTGCTGTTGTGGATATTTGATCAAACACTCTCCAGAGCCAGATACCTTTGTTATTGTGGAGAAAAGCAGCCCACCGGCATGATTATCCTTAACCTTTTTACACTCTGCCAGTTGAGAGTCTGGCCGGTCTGGTTAGTTTTCAATCTCATTTCGTTCTGGTAAATTGGAAAACAATGATTCAGTATTATTCGTGTTTATGGTCCTGAATGTTTGGCCTTTTAATTTTGTCAAGTATAGAGTTATTCTTAATATTTACTTTTATTCTGTGGTTGTCCGCTCCACATTCCTTCTGGTCTGTAACCCTGTGATGCAATACTGTAATTTCCTTACTGTGAGACGAACACAGGAAATCTCAGTCTTAACCTTAAGCCTGATATTGAGAAGATTTACTTTGGAATTTGATGTGAAATTACAAGTGTAAAATTTTAAATCATGTCACTAGAAAAGCACTGGTAGCGCATAGAGAGGTGCAGTCCCATTCAGCAAAGGTGCATTCCATAACTGTCTGGTTTTTGTGAAGTTATCAGATTCCTGCTTCTTGCGATAGAAGTTTTACTTCTCTGCTTCAACTGTTACTCAGTTTAGAACATTCCTCAATTAAAGATGATTCTAGTTAGCCTGGCCTTAGCCATTCGTACACACGAGGACTGGAGGAGGACTGGAGGAGGACTGGAGGAGGACTGGAGGAGGACTGGAGGAGGACTGGAGGAGGACTGGAGGTGGACTGGAGGAGGACTGGAGGAGGACTGGAGGAGGACTGGAGGAGGACTGGAGGAGGACTGGAGGTGGACTGGAGGAGGACTGGAGGTGGACTGGAGGTGGACTGGAGGTGGACTGGAGGTGGACTGGAGGTGGACTGGAGGAGGACTGGAGGAGGACTGGAGGTGGACTGGAGGAGGACTGGAGGAGGACTGGAGGTGGACTGGAGGAGGACTGGAGGTGGACTGGAGGTGGACTGCAGGTGGACTGGAGGAGGACTGGAGGAGGACTGGAGGAGGACTGGAGGAGGACTGGAGGTGGACTGGAGGTGGACTGGAGGTGGACTGGAGGAGGACTGGAGGTGGACTGGAGGTGGACTGGAGGTGGACTGGAGGAGGACTGGAGGTGGACTGGAGGTGGACTGGAGGCGGACTGGAGGCGGACTGGAGGTGGACTGGAGGTGGACTGGAGAGGACTGGAGGTGGACTGGAGGTGGACTGGAGGTGGACTGGAGGAGGACTGGAGGTGGACTGGAGGTGGACTGGAGGCGGACTGGAGGCGGACTGGAGGAGGACTGGAGGTGGACTGGAGGTGGACTGGAGGTAGACTGGAGGTGGACTGGAGGAGGACTGGAGGTGGACTGGAGGTGGACTGGAGGTGGACTGGAGGTGGACTGGAGGTGGACTGGAGGAGGACTGGAGGTGGACTGGAGGTGGACTGGAGGCGGACTGGAGGCGGACTGGAGGTGGACTGGAGGTGGACTGGAGGAGGACTGGAGGCGGACTGGAGGAGGACTGGAGGAGGACTGGAGGTGGACTGGAGGTGGACTGGAGGAGGACTGGAGGAGGACTTGAGGAGGACTGGAGGAGGACTGGAGGAGGACTGGAGGAGGACTGGAGGAGGACTGGAGGAGGACTGGAGGAGGACTGGAGGCGGACTGGAGGAGGACTGGAGGAGGACTGGAGGAGGACTGGAGGCGGACTGGAGGAGGACTGGAGGAGGACTGGAGGAGGACTGGAGGAGGACTGGAGGAGGACTGGAGGTGGACTGGAGGAGGACTGGAGGTGGACTGGAGGAGGACTGGAGGTGGACTGGAGGTGGACTGGAGGTGGACTGGAGGAGGACTGGAGGTGGACTGGAGGTGGACTGGAGGTGGACTGGAGGAGGACTGGAGGAGGACTGGAGGAGGACTGGAGGAGGACTGGAGGAGGACTGGAGGAGGACTGGAGGTGGACTGGAGGTGGACTGGAGGTGGACTGGAGGAGGACTGGAGGAGGACTGGAGGTGGACTGGAGGTGGACTGGAGGAGGACTGGAGGAGGACTGGAGGAGGACTGGAGGAGGACTGGAGGTGGACTGGAGGAGGACTGGAGGTGGACTGGAGGAGGACTGGAGGTGGACTGGAGGTGGACTGGAGGTGGACTGGAGGAGGACTGGAGGTGGACTGGAGGTGGACTGGAGGTGGACTGGAGGTGGACTGGAGGTGGACTGGAGGAGGACTGGAGGTGGACTGGAGGAGGACTGGAGGAGGACTGGAGGAGGACTGGAGGTGGACTGGAGGTGGACTGGAGGTGGACTGGAGGAGGACTGGAGGTGGACTGGAGGTGGACTGGAGGTGGACTGGAGGAGGACTGGAGGAGGACTGGAGGAGGACTGGAGGAGGACTGGAGGAGGACTGGAGGAGGACTGGAGGTGGACTGGAGGTGGACTGGAGGTGGACTGGAGGAGGACTGGAGGAGGACTGGAGGAGGACTGGAGGTGGACTGGAGGTGGACTGGAGGAGGACTGGAGGAGGACTGGAGGAGGACTGGAGGAGGACTGGAGGTGGACTGGAGGAGGACTGGAGGTGGACTGGAGGAGGACTGGAGGTGGACTGGAGGTGGACTGGAGGTGGACTGGAGGAGGACTGGAGGTGGACTGGAGGTGGACTGGAGGTGGACTGGAGGTGGACTGGAGGTGGACTGGAGGTGGACTGGAGGAGGACTGGAGGTGGACTGGAGGTGGACTGGAGGTGGACTGGAGGAGGACTGGAGGTGGACTGGAGGTGGACTGGAGGCGGACTGGAGGCGGACTGGAGGTGGACTGGAGGTGGACTGGAGGAGGACTGGAGGTGGACTGGAGGTGGACTGGAGGTGGACTGGAGGAGGACTGGAGGTGGACTGGAGGTGGACTGGAGGCGGACTGGAGGCGGACTGGAGGAGGACTGGAGGTGGACTGGAGGTGGACTGGAGGTAGACTGGAGGTGGATTGGAGGAGGACTGGAGGTGGACTGGAGGTGGACTGGAGGTGGACTGGAGGTGGACTGGAGGTGGACTGGAGGAGGACTGGAGGTGGACTGGAGGTGGACTGGAGGCGGACTGGAGGCGGACTGGAGGCGGACTGGAGGTGGACTGGAGGAGGACTGGAGGAGGACTGGAGGAGGACTGGAGGAGGACTGGAGGAGGACTGGAGGCGGACTGGAGGAGGACTGGAGGAGGACTGGAGGAGGACTGGAGGAGGACTGGAGGCGGACTGGAGGAGGACTGGAGGCGGACTGGAGGAGGAGGACTGGAGGAGGACTGGAGGAGGACTGGAGGTGGACTGGAGGTGGACTGGAGGTGGACTGGTGGACTGGAGGGGACTGGAGGTGGACTGGAGGAGGACTGGAGGAGGACTGGAGGCGGACTGGAGGAGGACTGGAGGAGGACTGGAGGAGGACTGGAGGCGGACTGGAGGAGGACTGGAGGAGGACTGGAGGTGGACTGGAGGTGGACTGGAGGAGGACTGGAGGAGGACTGGAGGAGGACTGGAGGAGGACTGGAGGTGGACTGGAGGAGGACTGGAGGTGGACTGGAGGAGGACTGGAGGTGGACTGGAGGTGGACTGGAGGTGGACTGGAGGAGGACTGGAGGTGGACTGGAGGTGGACTGGAGGTGGACTGGAGGTGGACTGGAGGTGGACTGGAGGTGGACTGGAGGAGGACTGGAGGTGGACTGGAGGTGGACTGGAGGTGGACTGGAGGAGGACTGGAGGTGGACTGGAGGTGGACTGGAGGCGGACTGGAGGCGGACTGGAGGTGGACTGGAGGTGGACTGGAGGAGGACTGGAGGTGGACTGGAGGTGGACTGGAGGTGGACTGGAGGAGGACTGGAGGTGGACTGGAGGTGGACTGGAGGCGGACTGGAGGCGGACTGGAGGAGGACTGGAGGTGGACTGGAGGTGGACTGGAGGTAGACTGGAGGTGGACTGGAGGAGGACTGGAGGTGGACTGGAGGTGGACTGGAGGTGGACTGGAGGTGGACTGGAGGTGGACTGGAGGAGGACTGGAGGTGGACTGTAGGTGGACTGGAGGCGGACTGGAGGCGGACTGGAGGTGGACTGGAGGTGGACTGGAGGAGGACTGGAGGAGGACTGGAGGAGGACTGGAGGAGGACTGGAGGCGGACTGGAGGAGGACTGGAGGAGGACTGGAGGAGGACTGGAGGAGGACTGGAGGAGGACTGGAGGAGGACTGGAGGAGGACTGGAGGCGGACTGGAGGAGGACTGGAGGAGGACTGGAGGAGGACTGGAGGAGGACTGGAGGTGGACTGGAGGTGGACTGGAGGTGGACTGGAGGTGGACTGGAGGAGGACTGGAGGTGGACTGGAGGAGGACTGGAGGAGGACTGGAGGCGGACTGGAGGTAGACTGGAGGTGGACTGGAGGAGGACTGGAGGTGGACTGGAGGAGGACTGGAGGTGGACTGGAGGTGGACTGGAGGCGGACTGGAGGCGGACTGGAGGTGGACTGGAGGAGGACTGGAGGTGGACTGGAGGAGGACTGGAGGAGGACTGGAGGCGGACTGGAGGAGGACTGGAGGAGGACTGGAGGAGGACTGGAGGCGGACTGGAGGAGGACTGGAGGAGGACTGGAGGAGGACTGGAGGAGGACTGGAGGTGGACTGGAGGTGGACTGGAGGTGGACTGGAGGTGGACTGGAGGAGGACTGGAGGTGGACTGGAGGAGGACTGGAGGAGGACTGGAGGTGGACTGGAGGAGGACTGGAGGTGGACTGGAGGAGGACTGGAGGTGGACTGGAGGTGGACTGGAGGAGGACTGGAGGAGGACTGGAGGAGGACTGGAGGTGGACTGGAGGTGGACTGGAGGTGGACTGGAGGAGGACTGGAGGTGGACTGGAGGTGGACTGGAGGAGGACTGGAGGAGGACTGGAGGAGGACTGGAGGAGGACTGGAGGAGGACTGGAGGTGGACTGGAGGTGGACTGGAGGTGGACTGGAGGAGGACTGGAGGTGGACTGGAGGAGGACTGGAGGTGGACTGGAGGAGGACTGGAGGTGGACTGGAGGAGGACTGGAGGTGGACTGGAGGAGGACTGGAGGAGGACTAGCCTGGTCTTATCCATCCGTACACACCGTTCAATCATCATTTCACTGCATGTAACGTCTGGGTCTGGTCCCTGTGTTAGAGATTACAATCGGTTGAATTTCGACCGACCAATCAGAGAGCGCGGAAGGAGAGAGTTGTAGTTAGTTGTGGATGATGTCAAGAGTTTGGCAATGGCGAAAAATGCGATAGTTAAGTAATTTGGTCTGGTTCTATCAAGAAATTGAAGCCGGAGCAAGAGGAATGTAGCGGCAAAGGAGATGGCTAAAGCTAGGCTAAATGCTAAATGCTAACGACTCACTCGGGCACACTACATACGTCACGGTAAACTCAGATCCAATGGTTTCAATCTGCAAAAGGAGTTAACCCCTCCCACCTGTTCACGGAGTCAATGGAGCAAATCCAGACCTTAGTATGAAATTTGTACTATGGTGTGGTACGATCAGGCTAGATTTTAGTGCTTTTATAAAACTGTATTTTTACTATGAGATGACGCCACATCTTAGTGAAGTACTTGCCTGTTTTTGATGTATAAGGAAAGTTAACTGACAAACTGAATACATGTTTAGGCAAAACAACATTTAGATTAATCCAAGCAAAAAGTGAGCAGTTTTGTGGATGGTTTTAATCAATCTATTCTGACCAAATGCATTAGTCAAATCGACAAATTTAGTTTGCCAATCTACCAATCATTCACGCACACACTGGACTCGTACTCGGCAACGTGGGTGAAGTGCCCTGTCAAAGGACACAACAACAGTGTGTGGCATCAGATTTCTCCCATCATAGCACTAACCAGGCCCTGTCTGTCTTAGCTTCTGAGAACAGCCGGGATTTGACTTTGTTGTTCATTCAAACCGATATAAGGTTCAATCCAACCAATATCGGCGAAACTAATTCGATTGGTAGTTTTTCCAACCAGTGTGTTTTTAGAGGATATGTTGCTGACTACAGACACACAAACCCTAACTTCAATCGTACTTCAGATATCAAAGTTATTTCCCAGGAAGTGAATATTACTCATTTATTGTTAGTTTATTTAAAGCTTGGCGATATCACTCAGGGTTTTCTTTGAATTGAACTGTTTTTGATCAAGTAAGCCTCACTTTTGACATTTGGACGTGTAGAGTCTTAAATGAGACAGGTGTATCATGTACAGGGTGGTCTGGTGGCTGAGTGGGTAGCACCGCCGCCTCTTAAGGTTGTGAGTTTGAATCCCGGTCCGAGGATGAGTTGAAATATAATCTTTATCGCACTCATTCAATTGAAGTTAAAATAAAAATTATTTCCAAGGTTTTTTCAAGTAAACTTTACTTGTCAGGGTTTACAGTGTGAGAACATAACCTGACTAAAGACATTGCCAAAACTATTATATTACTGTATAGATAATAAACTAGATTTTGAATCATTTTAACATTTCAACTTTATTATCTCAATCAATCAACTTTTATTTGTAGAGCGCCTTTCCTACACACAGCAACACAAGGCGCCTCACAACCCATATCACATCATGCATAAATCCCAAACATTAAAATCAACATAAACATTAAAAATACAATTAAAATCAAAAAAACGGCATTAAAAACACACAATTAAATCACACGGAAGTAATAAAAACAATAAAAACATTAAAATCACACACGGGATTAAAATCATAAATAGCCATAATGCACCTAAAAATAAAATCATTCAGTTGTATGCACAGCTAAACAGAACCGTTTTCAACCTAGACTTAAAAATTGCCACAGAAGTCGCCTGTCTCACATTTTCAGGAAGACTGTTCCAAATCCTAGCCGCATAGATCTGAAATGCAGCCTCCCCATGTTTAGTCCTGACTCTAGGCACCTCTTTTAACGTTCGAGCCACGGGGCCTCGGTCATTTTGCTTGTGGATTGACACAGTTCATGTTTTAAGTCTGGAACTCCAAAAGGGCTCAGTCTATGATGAGGTCTTGGGTTTCGGGGTTTGAAAACAGAGCTTTTAGACTGGAGGGTTTGGGATGGTTGGTCCCAGAAGTCTACTAGAAACACAGATGGAGCTTAACCTTAAACTTAAAACAATTTTGCATAACAGATGTGGAAAAGTGAAGGGTCTGATCTCTGCCCCTTTAAATGGCTTCCTCCACAGTGTGTGAGATATAATCCGTGACTTGTCCACCACCTGCAAGCAGAAAGCACACTGATTTTGCTCGTTTATATGGCTCATATTTCCATAACTTTCCGTAACATAACCCCAGTTGGCTCACATTTCCCATACACTAATCATTGCCGTGCTTTTCAGGTGATTCCAGAGATGACACATGTGGTGTATTCTATCTCCTATGTCCCTCACACAAAGGCTGCTTCAATCACATCTCTACTCTCTTTCACTTGGCAAACCGCTGCATTCCCGGAGCCGGATAAGCGCTGGTGTTTATAACTTGTGTAGCTTGACTCATTCCTTCATCTTCTATTGTGAAATTGTGAAAACGGTTTTGGTGGTGTCATCCGAGCCATGTTAGATAGTATAGCTTTGGGCTAGTGCAGATCAGCCCTCCAGAACAAAGTAAGTCGGGTCTAAGCCAACTGTAACTCGAGATTACCTCAGATGATTCCCAGGCTTAGGGGGGCACCCGCAGACCGATAATCAGAGGGGCTGTTCCCGCACTGTCGGCTGAAGAAAGGGAACTTGATATGGCTTACAGTGGTGTGTGCATGTGACAGGGCTCCAGCCAGAGTGAAGTGTGTGTTCCTCATTGATCACCATCTGATCTGAGATACTCCTGTTTCTCCCCAAAGGCTTTGCTTTGACCTTCAATGACTGTCTGGGCCTTCAGAGAAAAGTGTATGGCAAGAGATTAGTCATAAGGAGTATTTTGGTAATGATTCTCAGATACATGTTGTGGCAATCTCTGAAAATTGTCAGAGAAGATGTTAAAATTGTGTTTGCCTGCTTTATTTTTAATTGAATTATTTGTTTTGTGAATTGATTGTTTTTTCTAAATTGTGCGTATCTTCAAACTATCATCAATCTTTTGAAAATTGGCCACTTCTATCTTCCCTCTTGTGATCAGTTATACTATTTTTCTCCCGCTGTTTTATAATTTTCAAAAAATTGTGACTAAAGTTCCAAAAGTGAGTCATTTCCAAAATTCTGCACATACCTAATTACGCATGCAAATACTATTGACTACAAGACAGTAAAAACAAAACACATGAAAATTATTTCATAATAATTGAAATTGGGGGCGACAGTAGCTCAGTTGGTAGAGCATTGGCCTTTGAGCCTGAAGGTTGTGGGTTCAAGCCCACCATAAGACCTACTTCACAACTCCCACTGATGACTGCTGCCGTTGTGTCCTTGGGCAAGACACTTAACCCCACTTTGCCTGAAGCTCCCACTGAGCCTTCACACACACACACACACACACACACACACACACCTAACACTTACGCACACACACACCCTCCTAACTCACACACACACACACACCATCCCATATTGCACCTGACTACTGTTTTATTCTGTTTATCCTGTTTTTAAATGTTTTTATTATGCCTGTACAGTGTCCTTGGGTGTTTTGAAAGGCGCTTTTAAATAAAATGTATTATTATTATTATTATTAAAGATCTCAGCTCCTGTGGACTCACCACCTGCAGGAGGATCAGTGAGGGGCTGGTGCTGAGTGGACTGGGTGGCATCTCTGGCCACCCCCCCGACCCAGAAATGGATTAAGGGGAAGAAAATGGATGGATGAAAATTATTATAAACCAAATGAAAAAATCTTAGAGAAGCAGTATGTAAAAATCTGGCCATAAGTGGTACTGCAGCCTCTCCCACTCTCCCTGACTCAGGTTGCCAGATATGCAGACGAATCCATCCGGGACCATGATAATTGAATAGACCAGAGTTTAGTCAACAACAAAGTCAAAAGAAACACCTTTTTCACAAAGGCCCCCCGATAGAAATACTTGTTTAATTCCTTGTTTTGTCATGATTTGTTATACTTTAATCCCACTGAGAAAAAACATGGACTCCAGATCAGCTCTTTCTTACACACTTTGGGCTGGTGGGTTGAAACAACTCAGCCTTTAACCCGCTTTGTGACCTAATCTGTTTGTTTAGTGCAGACACAACAGCCAAATAAAGCGGTAATTTTAATCACAATAAAATCAAGCTGTTTAATAGGCTGTCATGGGTCTTAAAAACACCCAACGTTTGCCTCAGTCGCTCGTCAGACTTTGCAATTTTCACATCTTTCTAGCTCTGTTTTATTTAGTTCACATTATTATCGGTCCAGTCGTCACACAACAGACCCATTCAAAACATATACGAGGTCGGTGTTTTCCCATTTGAACAGTACAGCTCCATTAGCCTAGTTGGAGATGGTGCGAGATGATGGGAAAAACAAAAGGTCTAAAGAAAAGTAGAGAAGGATAAAGGAGTGGATTTAGCTTAGGGCGTGAGGCGGGAGACAAATGGGCTGGGTGAAAGGCTCCGTGTGAGTGTGTGAGGTGATGGATGGAGGATAGATGAAGGGACTTTCTCAGATCAGGGGGTTATATGCTTAAGCAGGCTCCCGGACACGTTTCTCACTCCTGACACTTTCACATGGTTTTGATCAAATCTGTGCCAAGTGTCCATTAGCTGTCCGCCAGGTCTGCGAGATGGCCGCGGGCGGAATTTCAATTAGTCGCCATTACAAGATACAAACGGACACAATGAGGCCTCCTCTCTGAGATGTGATGTAGAGGGGATGATAATGGCAAAATACATCAGGATTTGGATGTGATTATGGTTAAAGCTGGGTACCTGCCTATCCAACCACAAACATGAATAACTATCTATGTACAGTACTAGTTCCTCGCTCTCAAAGCAGTCTCAAACCAGCTCTCACCCTAAAGAGTCAAAAAGTGTGCAAAAATGTTTCCATTAAGACTCTTTTTGTTGGAACAAACATTATATATTTATCAATCAATCAATCAAAGTTTATTTGTAGCGGGCCTTTCTTACAGAGGGCAACACACAAGGCACAAAGTATCACATAAAACAAACACCAGAATCACAATTAAAACATTAAAATCACACAAGGAATTAAAACCATTAAAACATTAAAATTACACAAGGAATTAAAAAATAAATAAATGAATAAATAACCACAGTGCTTTAAAAATGAAAATAAAATCCATTTAATAGGAAACAAAATTGTAGGTGCTCTGGCTTTAATGTATTTTCACATTATCTTAAAGGGTAAAATTAAGTCTTTTATCCTTTAAACAAAGAAAATTACTTTTTTCCCCTTCTGCTATCTCTGTTCTGATTCTTCTGTTGTGTTTTCTGTTACAGCTCCAGCCCGTCTTCACCCCTCAGTGGCGGCATGTCCTGTTTCTGAAGCCCTGTGCGAAGGTGAGGGCTTTCACTTTCTACTTGACCACAACAAATGGAAACAACCTCGTGTTAAATCCGGCGCCCTCCGTCTCCTCCACGTCTCATTTCAAATCTGTACTTTCCTCTTTTATCCCCTTCCCGGTCTATAACTGTTAAGTGATGCCTTTGGCTTCTATATACCAGAACATGAAATGGAACGGCTGCTTTCTGCTCGGACATTGTTATACCATGGCAACAGAGACGGCGAGCCAAGGCCAGCAGTCATATTTTATCGCCACACACAGTTTTGGCCAATTCTTGCGGTTCAAACAGCAAAATGCATCGCCGCTTTATTGTCCGGAGAAGGATATTGTTTGTCTTGCTGTCCCTGCTTAATCTCAGAAACCACAGTCCAATACTGGCGGTAATAGTGCTGCAGCAGATAGAGTTAGTATTGAAAAGATGTTTTTTTTCTCATGTTGTATGTCCCAACAGAAGTCTTGTAGAAGTAAAAAGACTACAACATTCACGTTTATCTGTAAGAAAGAGCCGTCTCATTCATTATTTGTCACTTTGGGCTGCCTCCTGATTGGCTGAGAAAGGGCGGTCCTCTCTTTTGAACTTCTCTGTCTGAAAAAAACAATATACATGTGTGTGAAAACTAGTGATAGATCCACGGCTGTTTTAAAAGAGCAAGAAACTAGAGCTGTTCCATTTTTTGTGCCCCAGATTTAAAATAATAGTAATTAAAAGACACACAAGGATTGATGAGTTTTGCTGGTTTTATTAATGGTATTTTTAATTCTGTGTGATGGACTCAAAATGACTGGAACATGCATTTGCCGTTGAATAAGCTTGCAGATCTTGGGTCAGTTCCTTTCCCCTCCCTTAAAATGCTTCTTTTATCACACCTTGGTAATGAGAAACTATTTTAAGCCGCGTAATAGAACTCACCTACTGATATTAATTTGCTGCTTGGTTAGAAGGTGGTTCTGCCCCCGTGAAATCATTTTAGCTTAGACATGAGATAACGAGACATCAGAAGGTTGCATCGTTCAATTGGTTCCATGGGCGCTCCAAAGTCTGGTCCATGGGCGCTCCAAAGTCTGGTCCATGGGCGCTCCAAAGTCTGGTCCATGGGCGCTCCAAAGTCTGGTCCATGGGCGCTCCAAAGTCTGGTCCATGGGCGCTCCAAAGTCTGGTCCATGGGCGCTCCAAAGTATGGTCCATGGACGCTCCAAAGTATGGTCCATGGGCGCTCCAAAGTCTGGTCCATGGGCGCTCCAAAGTCTGGTCCATGGGCGCTCCAAAGTCTGGTCCATGGATGCTCCAAAGTATGGTCCATGGACGCTCCAGAGTCTGGTCCATGGACGCTCCATAGTCTGGTCCATGGACGCTCCAAAGTCTGGTCCATGGACGCTCCAAAGTCTGGTCCATGGGAGCTCCAAAGTCTGGTCCATGTGCGCTCCAAAGTCTGGTCCATGTGCGCTCCAAAGTCTGGTCCATGTGCGCTCCAAAGTCTGGTCCATGTGCGCTCCAAAGTCTGGTCCATGGACGCCCCAAAGTCTGGTCCATGGGCGCTCCAAAGTCAGTCTGGTCCATGGGCGCTCTAAAGTCTGGTCCATGGACGCTCCAAAGTCTGGTCCATGGGCGCTCCAAAGTCTGGTCCATGGGCGATCCAAAGTCTGGTCCATGGACGCTCCAAAGTCTGGTCCATGGGCGCTCCAACGTCTGGTCCATGGGCGCTCCAAAGTCTGGTCCATGGGCGCTCCAAAGTCTGGTCCATGGACGCTCCAAATTCTGGTCCATGGGCGCTCCAAAGTCTGGTCCATGGGAGCTCCAAGGTCTGGTCCATGGGCGCTCCAAAATGTGGTCCATGGGTGTTACAAAGTCTGGTCCATGGGCGTTCCAAAGTCTGGTCCATGGGCGCTCCAAAGTCTGGTCCATGGGCGCTCCAAAGTCTGGTCCATGGACGCTCCAAAGTCTGGTCCATGGGCGCTCCAAAGTCTGGTCCATGGGCGCTCCAAAGTCTGGTCCATGGGCGCTCCAAAGTCTGTTCCATGGGCGCTCCAAAGTCTGGTCCATGGGCGCTCCAAAGTCTGGTCCATGGACGCTCCAAAGTCTGGTCCATGGGCGCTCCAAAGTCTGGTCCATGGGCGCTCCAAAGTCTGGTCCATGGGCGCTCCAAAGTCTGCTCCATGGGCGCTCCAAAGTCTGGTCCATGGACGCTCCAAAGTCTGGTCCATGGGCGCTCCAAAGTCTGCTCCATGGGCGTTCCAAAGTCTGGTCCATGGACGCTCCAAATTCTGGTCCATGGGCGCTCCAAAGTCTGGTCCATGGGAGCTCCAAGGTCTGGTCCATGGGCGCTCCAAAATGTGGTCCATGGGTGTTC